CAATAAATAGTAGTAATTATTGATTTCACACAAAATTATGAAAGCAGGTATCAGTTTATCAAATTCAAAGTAAGTAAGTGTATGTGGTTTGAAAGAATTCAGGGCAGGCAGAAATACATAGATTAATTAACAGGAAGCTCATGGAACATATGAATTTGACATCAACTACTTCGGGAGTGAGATAAACAACACTGAAAGATGGAGACTCCAATGCGTTAAGAGGAAGATAAAACTAATGTCACAATAGAAGTCAAGAGCTAGGCGAGGAGGTACATGCCTGTAATCCCAGCAGCATAAGAGGCTGAGGCAGGAGGAACTCGAGTTCAAAGCCAGAGTCAGCAACAGCAAGGCTCTAAACAACTCAGTGAGACCCTGTCTCTAAATAAAGTACAAAATAGRGCTGGGGATGTGGCTCAGTGGCCAAATGCCCCTGAGTTCAATCCCTGGTACCCCTCCCCCACACACAAAAAAAGTCCATGGCCAAAACAAAAACAAAACTAATGTCAGAATAGAAGTTAAGAGCCAGGAACAGTGGAGCACACCGGTAATCCCAGAGGCTCTGGAAGCTGAAACAGGAGAATCTCAAGTTCAAAGCCAGCCTCAGCGACCCTGGGGCACAAAGCAACTGGTGAGACCCTGTCTCTAAATAAAAATAGGGCTGGTGAAGTGGCTCAATGCCCCTGAGTTCAGTCCTCAGTACCCCCCCAACCAAAAAAATAAAAAATAAAAGAATAGAAGAGACTATCACAGATTATGCAAAAAGTGAAAACCTTGTTGAAAGGTTACAGTTAAAGGGTAAAAAGATAAAAACAATAAAAAGAAACAAAAATGTAATGTCAATATGGATGACTCATTCACAGAAACTCTCTCATTTTCTATATATTTCTTCCTTATGTCAATGCTATTAATTAGGTATATGTTTGATCAAGATCAATAACATTATTAGGAAGAGCCAATAATGAGCTCTTATTCAACAAAAGCCTGACTTTTAAGACTGCTTATACCTACTGGTTGATTTTTGTGATTAAACTTTTTCAAAAGCTCCAAAGCAGAATGCTATTATTACATATAGACTAAAAACAACAAAAAGAAAATTAATTTTTAAAGCATTTAAAATCCATTACAGGATGTAATACTTGGGATGTTCTCACCTCTGCAAATTCTAGCTGAAATGTGAACTGCCTTGATTTTTTTCAAGGCTCTATAAAATTTAGCTTTGTTTGCAACTGGATTTAAGTACCTTGTATAGAGAAACAGAAGGCACAGCTCCTTTTTTCAGCTTTCTTCTTATGCCATAGGACTCAAAATCACTTTCTTGAAAATGTTTAGAACATAGTATAGCACCTGGTCCTGGAATCCAAATCTTTTTGCTTCTGGGGTCCACACGATTAACAGCTCTGATCCATTTTGAGCGTTGTATGGTATCAGCTGGAAATCTATAGCAATCATATTAAAGTGCCATTAACATGAAGATACTATAGTAATACTACAGTAGTATTTTTATATAAACCCATTTCTTAACTGCTGTCTATAAATATCACATCCAGTCAAGTAAGTTTAATTTATTTGATTTGTTTTGAAAGTTCTTTGATTTCTTTTTATGAATTCAGAAGTTCAACAACTAAGTACTTATGTGTTTTAGTTTAATGAGGACAGTTTCTTCTACTTTAAGAGAATCTATTGTCTTTAAATGGTTAAATAATACATGTGGGTGATGACTTTAAATCATGTTCACAAATTCTTTGGCACTCCTCCCTTCAATTATCTTTCAATTCTAATTCTATCTTCTAATTCTCCTCTCCTTGAGTAAGACCAGGAAATACTTTAGCAAAGAATTTTGCTAAAGCAGAAGTGACAGTGAGAAATCAGACACCAGATTATAAAAGCCATAGAAGCTTCCTTCTTTCAACTGAATGCTTTTGCCCTGGGGAAATTATCTGTAGCTTTATAAGCAGTCCTGTGGAGTGGATTTCTTGGGGAGAAATTTAGGCCTCCTGCCAAAGGCCATGGAAATTAGCCTTTTTGAAAACAGATCCTTCAGCCCTAGTCAGGATTTCAGGTAACTGCAATCTTATGAGATACCATCAAATTCATCAAATCCAGCTAATCCACTCCTCAATTTCTAACTCTTAAAAATGTGTTGAGATCATGTTTCCACTGGATTTTGATGTCATTTTCATGGAGCAATGGAAAAAGTACATTCCTTGTCCTGCTTCCCACATTTTTTTAAGGTACCTTTTTTCCCCCTAGCCTTGAACACATATTTAAAAAATGTGTGTGTGTGTGTGTATTTTTTTTCTTGCATTTCTCTTATTTTTTTTAATTCCAGCCAAATTAATGTTTGGAAACTTTTGAAATTAACATAAAGAAAATCACAAACTAGCCCAGTGCAGTAGTTTATGCCTGTAATCCCAGCTACTCAGGAGGCTGAGGCAGAAGGATTGCAAGTTAAAAGCCAGCCTGTTCAATTTAGCAAGATCTTGCCTGAAAAATTTTAAAAATAAATAAATAAATAAAAAGGTGCTCAATGGCAGAATGCTGGCTTCAATTCCTAGCACTGAAAGAAAAGAAAATCCCAAAACTACTCTTTTTGTACCCTCCTGTTGGATTCATCTTGGAAACAGACTTATAGATGGTGTATGTCTACATATAACTTTTGCATATTTTAATATTTAAAAGCACACAGTTATTAGGTATTGAGACTGGTGAAAATTTCCTCAGATAATGGTTAGAAACAGAATGGTAAAACAACTCTGAGATACTCTAAATTATTTTAAGAAAGAACATGGAATTGGAAGGCTTATATTTAAGTGTCAATTACTTTTTAGAAGCTGTGTGGTCTTAGATACATGTTTCAATCTGAGTCTTCTCACAGAGCTGTAATAAGATATACATAAAACTACAAATGAATTCCAAAGCACTTTCTAAAGTGTATAATACTATCCAAAGTTTGTTCTTTCCTAGGAAGAATTAATTCCATTTCTGGGATTTTCATTTTACTGTTCCAGGAAAATAAAGATACTTGAACAAGAGCAAACAGAGAATTGTTTTACAAATAAAGGAAAATCACTTTATATTGAATTCTTACCTAATGGATGTTTATGAAGCATTCTAAAAAGCAGGCTGGTTTACCAAATTATGATTAGATCCATCCCTGATGCTAAGCTTCCCAAATGGTAAACCTGGCAAATACTTGGAGTAGCTTGGGACACCTGGAGCCCCAGAGTAGTTACTATAAGTGAACTCCAAAGAGTAGTTACTATAAGTGAACTCCAAAGAGTTTTGTCATCTCTCTCTTATAGAAGCATTTTGTATGCATAAAATGCCATGGAAAAGGTTGGCAAATACTGCCGAGTAATGAGTATGACTAATGAGATATAGAGTTCTGAAGAAAATTAAATTGGTAATACCTAATTCTAATTTTAAATAATTTGCCTTGTGATATAGGTATCACAGATTTCAGGGCATGTACTCAGATTTTTACATGGCGAGAGCTCCATGATAAAAAAAAAAAAAAGTATATATGTTTACTGGCTTTAGGCAAGTAAACAGAAGATAGCAGTTTAAAAGAGAAGGGGAACCAACTGATGAGTAAAGGTTAGGAAGAATCAAGAAAGCACACAATTAAAACAACAAAAGATCATCCAAAAGACATAGCCCAAACTCCTTAACCTGGCATTTATTCCTATTTATCTCCTAATTATCTTTCCACTCCTCTACATTTTATCTGCACTCTCCATCTCTTTACCTTCTTCCTTGCTGTTCCTACTTAAGTGCTACCCATCTATCACTCCCTGAAGCTTTTTTTTTTTTCTTTTTTGTTACTGACTATTGAACCCCTGAACACTCTACCACTGAGTTACATTCACATCCACAGGATCTCGCAAAGTTAATGCTTGGGACCTCACTAATTGGTCTTCAATTTGAGATCTTCCTGCGTCTGCCTCCCGACTTGCTGGGATTACAGGTGTGCACCACCGCGCCCGATATGATGCTGTTTATCTTCTTATTAAATTACTTCCATTAGCTCTCTACATCTTATTAATATTTTAATAGGCTACCTCTCGGGGAGTACGCGTCTTCTGTCCGTGAGGATCTATTTTACCTCCTCTTCTACTTTTTGGTGTATCTTTAACATTGATTTGAATGACCTACACCAACCTGCACTATAAATGGGTTCAGATGGGACTACTATGAAATTCTGCTCCCACTCTTGAGCAATATGAAATTTCTTTGACACGACCACATGACCACCCAGAATCGTACCGGCCTGTAGAGCTCGACCAACAATGCCGACAATTTGCAAGGTTAGGCTGCACAGGCCAAAACTGATCAGTACTCAAGCTCTCCAAGAAGCCACGTAGTCTAATGGGGGCGCATGCTTGCAACAGTTTTCCCAACTGTCCTCCCTTCTGATCGCCTCACTTTAAATGAGACCACTCCTTTTGAGTAACCTCACTCAAAATTCATTAGGCAAAGCGCAGTGGAAAAAGATCTGCAATTTGGAGTAAACATTGAGGAAGAAGTGAGCGAGGAACCCCAACTTCAGACGCTTCTCACTTCCGCTCCCCGCCCCACGACACACACGTCACATCGACGGCGCGACGCAACGCCCGGCCCCGCCCCGCCACGGCCTACGCTCGCCAGGCTCTGCTGCGAGCTCGATGGCGGCGCGGCTGCTCTCACACGCACTGGTGGAAGGATAGGCCGCGCTCTCGGCTCAGCACAGTGTCTCGGGTACTGCAGCCCACTGCAGAGCAACTTCGGGTCATCTTGTTACATGGGGCTCCACCTCCAGGCTTCCCACGACAGCTTGAATCACGATAAATTTAGCTCCGCCGTTGACTCGGCGTCTTCGACCTTTATTTATGAGGGAAGGCGGGCTTTACAGGCGAGGCACTCCCACTCTGCCTGTCTGTAGGCTCACCGGTTGACGCCCTAGCCAATCACAGAGCATGGCGTGTCGTAGAGGCCAATCGGAAAGGTCAGTGGCATTAAGACTTGCTCTTGACCGCTCCTTCTCGGCCTTTGGGTGCGTGGTGGGGTTAGCAGTAACTGGATTGTTTTCCTACTTGGGATCAATCCGGCGCCATCGTGCGTTTTGTGATGCCAGTTCTGAGAATATGAAGCAGAGAGGAAGGGCAAAAATTGAGGCGAATATGAAGCTTGCGGTTGGGACTTCGGGTGCGATCTCTGAAACTGGAGGGTATGTATGGCAAAGGATATGATGGGGACAAATAAAACGTGGTGCCCTACGTGTTGAAGACAGAATCTGGGCAAAAGTAAAATGATTTACTGAGCTGCAAATCATTTACCTTTTACTTAATCTTGTAGCTCTCTGATTCGGAGACAATGTAGGAGATGTTGTCATGGTTGGCGTTAAAAATGTGATTTCGGAGGAGCTTGAGCGAAGAGCATGAAGTGAGCATGCTCCGACTTTTTTAATTCAAAGAACCCCTTTCAGAAAGCTACTTTGCTACGACGAGGGAGTCAAGGAAAAAAGGTAAGTTTTCCTGGGGGTTTGGGAAGCCTTCAGTGCAGTGCAGTAGCAGTCATGGAGGCACGAGAGAAAAGGCAGTCACGTCATTTTGGTTGGAAATGGGGCGCTCGTAGGTTTCAGAATTTGAGATGGTCAGTTTTCAAGGAAGAAAGAAAATAGGCCAAATGAGGGCATAATATTTTTGTCTTTGAAAAGTATAGCTGTAGCATACTAAGTGGCTCTTTTTTAATCCTGCATAGTGTTGGAGGCCACGTTTAGAAAACAGTGTTAATCTAGCTTACATAATTCCAAATTTCCAGACCTAAAAGATTGATTGCTTCTTTTTTTCCTTTTTGATTATTTGGTCTAGATTCCAGCCAAAAAGATTCGTATCAAGGTATTATTTATTTATATCTACTTTCCATTATAATGTGTTTATTTCTTATCTGAATGAAATTAATAGAGATTTGCTTATGTTTTATTAAAAATTATGGCGTAGAGATAGTTTGAACTTTGGAAAGATTATCATTTGGGGAATGGGCAGAGCAAATGTTTGTTGGCTCTTAAGATGTACAACAAAGACTAGAAGCTGGGTAAAAATATTGGGGCAGTTGGTTGGACTATTATTAATATTGAGTACTATTCTAGTACCCAATGAAGACCTGAATTAGGCTAAATGGAAATAGTAACATTGTTTTAAATTACCTTTAAGGAAAAAATTGGTTGCCTTATATATTTGTAACAGTAAAAGAGATAAGTACCATATAATTAACAGATTTAATGTATACAGTTCAGTTAGACTTTAGTATTTGCTCAGAGTTGAGCAACTATCACTGCACTGTATTTTAGAACACTTTTTTCTTTTGATATAGTATGGGGTCTGACTGTATTGCCCAGATTGGTGTCCAAGTGGGGTTCAAGTGATCCTCCTGCCTCAGCTTCTAGAATTGCCTTGGACTATGGGACCCTTGCCTGGCCCATATGAGAACATTTTTATCACCCAAAAAAGAAACCCCATTCTTTTTAGCTGTATCTCCCTCTCTCCTGTCCCTCCAGGCAACCAATTTACTTTTCTTTGTGGACTGAACTGTTCATTGCACTTCATCTAGATAATAAACTAACATGAGAAATTATGTGACTGGCTTCTTTAATGTACAGTGTTCTCAGAGTTCATCCATGTTGTAACATGTATCAGTACTTAAGTATGTTTTTATCACTGAATTTTTTTCCCATTGTATAGATATACCACATTTTATTTATCCATTAGTGATGTACATTTGTGTTAACAGTATTTTTGGCTATTATGAGTAAGGATGCTGTAAACATTAATGTACAAGTTTTACACGGCACGGACATAAGGTTTTTTTTGGGGGGGGGGTGCTGGGGATTAAATCCAGGGACTTGTGCATGTAAGGCAAGCACTCTATCAACTGAGCTATATCCCCAGCCCCATAAGTTTTTGTTTGTCTTGATTACACCTAAGAATGGATTTCTGGGTCATATAGTAATTATATTTAACTTCTTGAGGAGCTTCAGGACTATATTCCAAAGTTACTGTACCATGTTACATTCCCACCTGAAGTGGATAAGGTTTCCAATTTTGCCACAAAAATCATAAGCCTCAAGTATTATCCCATTGTGGTGGTTGCCTTTTTTTTTTTTTTTTTTTTTTTAGGATTCAAAACTTTGTAGGGAACCCACTAGAGGATGTTTCTTGAGTCCAAAGACAATGTATAAGGTGATTTTCAGTCCTTGGCACATGTGTTTCTGCTATAATGTTAAATTTGTGTTCCTGAAGAAAAGAACTTAATTTCTTACTTTTTTTTTTTTTTTTTGAATGAGAGAGGAGAGAGAGAGAGAGAATTTTTTTAATATTTATTTTTTAGCTTTCGGCGGACACAACATCTTTGTTGGTATGTGGTGCTGAGGATGGAACCCGGGCCGCACGCATGCCAGGTGAGCGCGCTACCGCTTGAGCCACATCCCCAGCCCAAAAGAAATTAATTTCAGCAAAATTATTCATTTGAAAGTTTACAGAAAAAAAAAACCAGGATTAAGGTAGACTACTCAAAATCTATGCAAATTAAAATCACTTGGGGGTCGGGGTGGGGGGGGGTGATTGCTACCTGAAGAGTGCATTTATGTTCCTACCCAATTTTAGGTAACTTCAAAGCGAAAAAGCCACAGCGGGCATAAAATGGGCAAAATGGAAGGACTGAGACATTGGGAATGGAAGTGGAGTTCTGGGCTAATGTGTTCTTAAAATGGTTTACAGCTAATATAACCAGTTGAGAGCCTGAAAAAAGAGATGGTGATTCAGGTGGTTTGGGAGCCAGTTAAATATCTGAAGTGAAGGCTGTTTTCTTTCCTGCTTAATTGGATTACAGTGGTCATGGCCCTCCTAGGAAAGATGAAACAAAGTGGTTCTCACATTATTCTGACAGTTTTCTTGAAGAAAAAATTAGATATATGAGAGCATGTATATACAAATAAGCAATCTCCTTTCTTAGGTGTATTCTTTGTAGCGTGTGTGTGTTTGTGTGTGTGTGTGTAGTAATATATATAGTATGTATCTCGCATATGTATGTGTAATACATTTATATAAATTACTGAAGTGATGCTGTGTTCTTTTTTGAAAATTTGTAGAACATTTATAAGAAAGTTCATTTTATGGTTAGAGTACTCTACCTTGTGTTCTTTTTTTCTAGATTTTTCTTTTAATTTTTCTAGGTGGAAGTGGTAATTACTAATTGTAAACAAGTTACTGAGAACTGACTGTTCTATAGTAGAATGTCAGATTTACTTAAATATCATAAGCCTATTTAAAAAAACAATAAAACTCACTTTACAGAAGCCAGAAAGAAGAGGTCACTGCTCTAGATAGTCTCAGAATACTTCAGTATAGGGAAATATTTAATAAAACTTTTTTGTGCCTTTTGTTGTTTAGTGGTGACATTGAGGCTCTCAATTTGATCATTTGGTTATATGTTTCTTTTAGTGACTTCATATCCAGTGATTAAATCTTTTCACTGCTGTTCACATAATGAACCGTTGTGATTATTGAATACTTAAATGAGGATATGTAAGCATTATTAAAGATGGTGTTAATTGTAAAAGGCATTGACCATTGCACAAAATAATTTAAAAATACCTCTTTTTCAGGAGATAATGAGAAAAGATGTGGATCTTGCATAAGAAGTCTAAATATGCAGGGAAGGTAGTATATTTTTCTGTTTTATGTGTATTAAGTAGTCCTGAAACTATAGCAGCAACTTGGAAAAGGAGGATTGTCCAAGTAAAAAATGGATTTGTAAAGACTGGTGTTATCTTATTACCTATTTTATGGTAGAGTTTATTGGCTACATAGGGAAGAATAACAATGCTTATTGATCAGTTACTGTGTACCACGCATTGAGCTAAGCTTGAGAGTTGTTTTTTTAAACCTATTTGTTTCTTATAATAACCCTATAAAAGCAGACATTTTAATTTCTAAGCCCAGTCTTTTGCTTGTTAAGCATATCTTTTCTTCAGATACTTGGCTAATTCTACTAGAACTTTCCAATTTGTTGTCCTGCTATAACTCATTTTTGCTGAATTTTTCATCTTTGAGTTCGCTATGTTTTGTTTTTTTTTTTTTATTTCAGAAAGTATTTAGAATTTGAAATTTTTTGGTGACCAAATTTAAATACAGTCCTGAACCTTTTCACTTAATATTTTGCTCTTTGGATACAGATACAGATTTTGTCCTCTTAGTTAACTTTAGTAGGTCAAAATAACAAACTCTTATTATCCCACTGTTTTTGTGGATCACTATTCTGGGAATAGAAGTGAGTTATTTTGGCTCAGTGTGGTCTAATGACATGACAGTCATCTGAAGTCTTAATTTTTGGGAGAATAGGGCAGCTTCTGAGCGCTCTACTTCTTTGCTGGCTAATGTCTAAAGAATTTAGTTCTTTGCCATATGACCCTTTTCATAGACTATGCCTTCCAAAACATAGCAGGTAGCCTCCCCCAGAGGGCAAGATATAAGAGTAAAATACCAAGATAGAAACATTACTTTTATTTTATTTTTTTATTTATTTTTTTTTTTTTAGTGAGAGAGGAGAGAGAGAGAGAGAGAGAGAATTTTTAATATTTATTTTTTAGTTCTCGGCGGACACAACATCTTTGTTGGTATGTGGTGCTGAGGATCGAACCTGGGCCGCACGCATGCCAGGCGAGCGCGCTACCGCTTGAGCCACATCCCCAGCCCCGAAACATTACTTTTAAAACTTGATCTAGGAAGCATATACCATTTCATCTTTCCTCTTCTGTTATTCATGGAGACCAATGCTGGTACATAATAGGAATGGATTATACAGGGGTGTGAATACCAGGAGTTGGTGGTAGGGTATCATCATGGACCCCACAAGGATATCATATGTATTTTTTTTAACTTTCAATTTATAACATCAAAAGGATTTAGTAGTTGACTCAAGTAAATTAGGTGTATAAGAGCATGTATATCCAAATAAGTAAGTTTTATTATTTCTTGTGCATATGTAGTAATATATACATAGTATATAACTTGCATATGTGTATATGCTGCATATATCATATAAACTACTGAAATGATTCTGTGTTCCATTTTGAAAATTTCTAGAACATAATCAAATTCATCTTACAGAGTACTTTACCTTGATCATATTTTTTAAATAGCTTTTTCTCTTACTTGTTTTAGGTGCATGCGGTAGAAGAAGCTGATGAGAACTAGACTATAACTAGAAATTTGGTTTCTTTAACCCAGTATTTTGCTGAGGTGGCACTAATGAAAATGTTAAACATTCAGTTTAGGTTTTTCATTTTTTGGTACTGGAGATACTAGGGGCACTTTACCACTGTGCTACATTTCTAGCCCGTTTTATTTTAAGACAGGACCTCTCTCAGTTGCTGAGGCTGGCCTTGAATTTTCGATCTTTCTCACTCTCCTGAGCCAGCTGGATTACAGGCATGCGCCCACTGTCCCCAGCTTGTTTACAGTCTTGTAAAGAACATAGTCTAATTACTTATAGGTCTATAAATATGTGCTGGAGGATGGAGTAAAGGTACAGATGTACAGAATCAGTGAAGCATTTTGACCTTTTTCCTCAAGCTTCATTTTTGTTCAATATGATGAGTATACTATACTACAACTTCCCGCTGCTGCCTTTCCCCTCTTCTGTATGTGCTTCTGCCCCTCTTCATTAGCAAATACAGACCATGTCAAGCAATCAGAATGTCCCTTATTATAGAATAATAATTGGTGCCTGATATTTGTAATCTTTTGAATTTTTTTTATCACTGCTGTCAAGTTCGTTAATAGAAACAACCTTCCTTCTTTTCCTGTAAAGTCTTAGTTCTGATAGTTGTGAACACTTGTCTAATAAGAAAAGCATTATATTAAGCCAGCTATGGTGGGGCATGCCTGTAATCCCAGTGGCTAGGGGGCTGAGACAGGAGGGTTGCAAGTTCAAAACCAGCCTTAGGAAAAGCAAGGCGATAAGCAAACCAGTGAGACACTGTCTCTAAATAAAAATATAAAATGGGGTTGGGGATGTGGCTTAGTAGTTAAGTACTCCTCGGTTCAACCTCCAGTACCAAAAAAAAGATTACATAAAAAGCAAAGAATAAACAGTTTAGAATATCAGGCTTGATATGGAGAAGATGCTTTCAAGGTAGCATGAGATAGTCTGTAGAAAGTAGATATAATGATCCACTTGAAATAATCTTTGTTCTGATTTATTTTTTCAGTCATAATAAAACTGAAGGTCTGTGTATATGGTCCTGGGGACTGAACCCTGGGGTGCTTTACCACTAAGCTATCTCCCCAACTTTTTTCTTTTTTTTTTTTTTTTTTTTTTTTTGAGGAGAGGGTCTTACAAAGTTTCTGAGGCTGGCCTCAAAACTTGAAATCCTCCTGCTTCAGTTTCCTAAGCTGCTGGGATTTTTAAGGGCTAAGCAAAGAAAAAAGAATAGAGCTTCAAATTAAGTATAAATGTCCAATGATTAAACTTTTTCCACTGCTGTTCACATCATGATTTGTTGTGATTAATTTATGTGGATGAGGACATAATAGAAATAGTCATGAAACTTGAATATATGGTGTAATTTCTATACATTGATTTGCCTGTTTGAATGTTTTCCCTTGTAGGACTAAAATTGAAGGTTGTTTTTCTTAGAGAAAATCACTTATTGTATTTATTTGATCAAGGATTAGAAGATTTATATGTAATAAGGTAAGAGGTTTATAAAATAAGTAGTTTTCAAAAAAGAATACAAAGTAAAATGAGAACAAAAGTTTGACATTTAAGTATAATGTAGATATTGTACTTTGAATTAAAGTTCTTTTCTTATTTTAGCTTTCAAAGAAAAATAGAATTTTAAAAATTTATAGGTTGACTGAGGAAAGAAAATTGGAGGGGTAGAAGAAGGGACTTTAATAGTCATCTTTTCTTAGAAATAATGATATAATCCTTTCAGGCCTTGAAATTCTTAGAGATTGTATTTCCCAGAGTTTACATTTGTTTACTTTTTGCTATTCTTTAAATGATTCATACATAATTCCAATGGATGACTATTCAATAACATAATAGGAAAGTGGTAGCTGAGAATCTCAAATCTATTACCAATTTTGTCATTAATTGTGTCTTTTATCATACCCATTTCCCAAATTTAAAGAACATACATCCTGCAAAGAGAAATCTTAATAACTTAATTTCTCATTAAATGCATACAAAAGATGCTAAACCTAAAAGTTGATAATTTTTTTATAGCCCATATGAAAAAGATGTATGAAATAAATGCATCCAAAAACAATAAAGCTAAAACATTAATAGAAGGAATGCTGCTGTTTTGATAAAATGTAAGCATAGTACTGTACTGGCTGTCAGGGAGCAAACTACACAACTGACCATCTTGTTCCTTGTGGTTATTTTTCTAGAACTTCACTCCTTGAAGACTTGAAGATTATTGAAATGAAAGAGGGAGTCACAATTTTCAAAATAATATTTTTTTGACCATGTATAAATCCTAATTTGAATTGTTCTTTAAATTATATCCACACATTGTTCTACCTTTACTGAATAATTCATTCTTGAAACTAGCACTGTTTGAGACAAGTTTTGTTTTTATTTGATCCAGGACAAAACTTGATTAATTTATAGTCAACTATTAAAAGATTAAAAATTGATTTTTGTGAAATGATTATTTTCTTTTTCAGTACAGTAGTCTTAATAGGCACAAGTATTAGTTACCAAAGTATTAACTGAAAATAGTTATATAAATTTTGCTGCTAGTTCTTCAGTTCACAAATTATTTTGCAAATAAAAGATGTACACATGATCAGTGACCACTCACTTCTTTTAAAGTCTGATGGTGATTATTTACTAATAATTTATTCAGTCCTTGCACTGATAGCAAAGTGCATAGTTTTACTGCTTTCTTGTATCCCAGAGACTGAACTCTTTTACAAAAATGGATAATCAAAAGAAGGAATTGGTCAATAAAGATGACAGTGTAGCAAAGAAATGAAAATGGATAATGCTAGAAGTGAAAGTGGGTGTGATTAGAAGATTTGAAAGTGTCAGCTGCAAAGCAAAGCCTGCAAGAAGCTACAATGTGAACTGCATTGAATATATAGTTAGTTGCCATCATGTCTTAATTTAATTTGTGCTACTAACAGAAAGCCATTTACAGTCAAAATTGAAGACTAATCAAAAACAGATCCCAGTTTGGCTAGCTAGCATTCAGGCCCAAGTGCCGCAGTCTGACTGGGCACAATTCAGGAGCCACTTATCAAAAGAAACAAACTTTATTTTTAAAACTATAAACGCCAAACAAAACAGCTCCTCAGGAAAAACCCTCAGAGCCCAACTGCCACCACCGGCTTCCAGAAGCCTCTCCCACACACCAACAACCACCTCCCACAATCCTCCTGCTCTTGAGGCCGATTGGCTAGGTCGCGTGGGCGGAGCCAAAGAAGTCCCCCAATGAGCAGTTCCGTAGTCTGAAGGGCAGGGAAACAGCCCAATGAACATGACCGCAGAGGAGCCAATCAGCTAGATGTTGCTGGGGCCGCTGTGAGCCAATCATCAGCTGGCAGTCTGAAGGGCAGGGAAACAGCCCAATGAACATCACCACAGAGGAGCCAATCAGCTAGATGTTGCTGGGGCCGCTGTGAGCCAATCATCAGCTGGCAGTCTGAAGGGCAGGGAAACAGCCCAATGAACATCACCRCAGAGGAGCCAATCAGCTAGATGTTGCTGGGGCCACTGTGAGCCAATCATCAGCCGGCAGCTGGGAGTTTGCTGGCAGCTGGAAGTTTTCTGGGGCCCCTTTGGCTGTGGCTCTCAACACCCAAGCACTGTTGTTAGCTGTTGCAATGAAAGAAAATAATTAACAATGAAACTGAAAATAAAAATTTTACTGCCAGTAAAGCTGGATTCATTATTTCAGAAGTCAACATGAATTGGTTAATGCTAATCTACTTGGTTAAGTTGCAAACTCAAATAAAGGCACTACTATGAAATTTGTACCCAGATTCCCAGATACAAGTAGTCCTACTTACTGTAGGACTCCATTGAGTCCACCTTGTAGGATTTCAATGCAGTGTTATAGAAGATAGAGTGGGCTGGGAAGGAATTTGATACTGCTGCTGTTCAAGAGCCAGTTGAAGAAAAGCCAGATGAACTTATTAGTGAAGGTGAACCTCTTGGCATGAGTGATAGAAGTGGTTGTGACATAAAAGATGAACATACCTCAGAGGAAGTGATGCCAGCAAAAACCCTTCACATGAAATTCTCAGAGATACCTAATGACCTTGAAAGGAAAAAGGGTAAAATTTGTGGTTCCTATGTCAAGGCATAGGAAAGATGTTCAGTGCTTATTGTAAGTAATATGAAGACAAGTGCTATTAAAACTACTCTTGATAAATTATTTACATTTTTTAAAACTAATTTTCAGCTTCTAATGTTTTTAATTATAGTGAATTAAATGCTAGTTTTACAAAAAAGTTGCAGGGTAATATTTTTGCATTTAAAATAAATATCAAGAATTTAATTTTTTTCTGTGCTTTTTAAAATTAATGTTCTTTTTAGTTATACATGACAGTAGAATATAACTTGACTTATATTTATACAAACACAGATTATATTTTATTCTAATTAGGATCCCAGTTTCGAGGGATGTAGAGATTCTCACTATGGGGTATTCCTGTATGTACATAGCAAAGTTATATCAATCATTCCACTGTCTTTCTATTCCTGTCCCCCCTCCCTTCCCATCAGAATTAATTTGGGGGGGTACCAGGAATTGAACTCCAGGGCACTTCTTGACCACTGAGCCACACCCCCAGCCCTATTTTGTCTTATTTAGAGACAAGGTCTCACTGAGTTACTTAGCACCTTATGGTTGCTGAGGCTGGCTTTTGAACTCTCAATCCTCCTGCCTCAGCCTCCCTAACAACTGGGATTACAGACCTGTGCCTGGCTGAGAATTAATTTTTTGACCAATTTTAAGGAAACAGAATAATTACATATTTTCCCAAAGACTTAGATTGCATTGTGCCTGCATTTAAAACACATTAAACCAAATATAAATACACATATCAAGTCTACAGATATTTATTCATATTGCCTTTGTATGCTGAATACCAAAGTTTTGAAATTAGTTTATAGTATTGGATTTCTCATATTTGGAGTTCATTTATCAATCCATTTGTAGGCCACACCTTTAAGGTCATAGTAAATCAATATTTGAAGGCCCATGTGATCATGATTACAACTACTCAGCTCTGCCTTTGTATAGCTTAAAGCAGCTATAAACAATAACCATCAAGTGTGAATGTGTACTAATAAAATTTTATTTATGAATACCAAAATTTGAGTCTCAATCACTTTTTTTTTTTTTTTTTTTTTTTTTACCCTGAGTTGCTTAACCCCTGAGCCACACCCTCAGCCCTTTTTATTTTGTATTTTAGATTGGGTCTTAACTGCTGAGGCTAGCTTTTTTTTTTTTTTTTTTTAAGAGAAAGAATTTTAATATTTATTTTTTAGTTTTCAGCAGACACAACATCTTTGTATGTGGTGCTGAGGATCGAACCCGGTCTGCACACATGCCAGGCGAGTGCGCTACCTCTTGAGCCACATCCCCAGCCTCTGAGGCTGGCTTTGAACTCATGCTTCTGCCTCAGCTCCCTGAGCCACTGAAATTACAGGCATGTGCCAACACTCCTGATTTTAAGATATTTTCTTTTGCACTTTTTCCCCTTTTTCAACTATTCACAAGGCCTGGAATTTTGGGGGAGGAGGCAAGGTTTGGAGGTGACTGATTTATGCTTCAATTATTGCTTTTAGGGTGAAAATAGGAGTTACAATGAATCTTTCCATACTAATGCACATTTCCAAGTAGCAGGGAGTCTTTGGAATAGGATAATAAGAAGAGAGTTCAGAAGGTAAACTTTTTCTCTTGGCTCAAAGGATGGTCCCACTTGTGTGTGTATGTGTGTGCGCGCACCACATCCCAGTCCTATTTTGTACTTTTAAATCAGGTTTTTTGTTGGCCCCTCTAGATAAGTCTTGCAGCTATAAGTTAGAATGGAAAGTATTTTAGAACATACTCAAAATTAGCCACTGAAAAACTAGTAATATGCTTGAGCTGGTCTATTTCAAACCTGTTGAAAAATACTTTTTAAAATTGAGCCGCACATGTAGGAAACTGAAGGTGTTGGGAAGAGTGCAGTGAATTAAAAAAAAAAATTCTACTCCAGTATGGTAGTATTGACCATATTTTATATTTTTGTGTGCAAGAACATTCCAGTTATGGCAGGTGGGCAAGGTTTCCTTAAAGAACTGGCTTTGGATGATAGGTATAATGGAAAGTGAACAGGGGTAGAAGTTAGGAGACATTAGGTTGAGTGCAGGTTTTAATATTTAATGTTTTTCTCTGGTTTGACTATAAAATTATTTCTCCCTAAACTCAAAAAGTGCATTGAGGTAACACATCAAGGGTCTGAGGAAAGTAGGAGCTTTGACCAGATGAGACCAGAAAGATTTTAGTTTTTTGTACTTGGAAATATTTGCATAGACTTTTCTGATTGAACATCGCTAATCTGAAACCTGAAAAGCTCCTTAATCTGAGCGTCAAGTAGGCGCTCAAAAGTTCTTTATTTTCAGATTGGGGATGCTCAAACTACTACTTGCCCACGGCTAGTTGTAATGGGTCTGGACTTAATGGGATAGTAACTTTAAGGATACTAACAAATTAACATATCTCGGCCCACTTACCTATGACCCTTTGGAGCATTAAATCAACTATTTCTACAAATAATCTTTGAGTGTGACAAGATCATCCAATTTCAATTCTCAAGACACATAACTGTAAAAACAATAGGAAATTTAAAGAGCCCAGGCAAACTGCAATAATCTCCTTGTAGCCCGATTTTCACGTAGTTTGGCGTTGGCAGTAGCTCAAGGGCTGCTGGCGCCTCACAGGACTACGTGGCATTCCTGCGGGCCACCGCCATAAGCCAGACCGCAATGACCAGCAGGATTTTTTCTTTACCCGTAGTGTGGCTACTGCATCCACAACCTCCGACCAATTTTACAGAAAAGTGTCTATAAACACACGTGCTGCAAACGAGGGCCCCTAAACCGCAGCATTGGACTTGATACCTGAGCCGCCGCAACTCCCGGAAGTACCGTGGCCGACCGCGCGCCGAAGTGGGCGGGGCAAGGCGTCGCACCCGGAAGTGTCGGCCTGAAGGCAGGGGCTGCGGCTGCCACGTTGGAGCGGAACGTGGAGGTGGCCCTGGGCAGGGGAGGAGGGGCGGCGGCGAATCCTGAGAGTCTGACCGGCGCGGTGCTAACGCAGAACCGGTCGCTGAGGGTCCCGGGCAGTTGTGTCCGCCTGTTGCCTTCTGTCCTCTTCGACCGCCATCGGGCCTTGAAGTTGTGCCCAGGAAGCTAGGACCCCGGCCTGGGTCTCTGTTGGCTCTGCCAGCCTGAGGCCCGGTCTCCGGTGACTACGCGCCCCTGGTCTTGGTTTCGGGCCCAACGGGACAACGTCAGGCTTCGAGACTCCTTCGGTGTTCTTGCCCGTCAACAGCCGCCGACGAGTCCAACGTCTAGCACCAGTTCCCCAGAGGATTACGACAGGGTTTCCTGCCGGGCATTCTCAGCCGGGTTGGTACCTGGAGTTTGAGGTTAGGAGACCTTCGGACCCAGTGCACAAAGAGGTGCGGTACCCAAGGGCGAGGAAAGGAAACAAATCTCAGTTTTATTTCGTTGACTTTAGTTTGGTTGAGATTTTTCGTTTGTATTTGACTTGTTGTCAAATTTAAGGGTTCACGGGATTGAACTGAAAGCTACTATCATTTAACCACAATTGGATGATTTTAAAAACAATAGTCTCCAATTGCTGCCCATACTTCTAAGGAAACCTCATTAAGTATGGTATGATTTTGCTAATAAGTTGTTATAGTAAATTGTGGGGCAGTTGTAAATTAAGTCAAAATATTGTTTAGATTTATGGGCGTTATAAACTTTTCTGTAGTTTAGAGAGTGAATTTTACATAGGTCTTTTTGAACTTACAAACCCCTCCTCCTAAACTGTTCTTTCTACTCTAGAAAACTGAAATTTGGCTTTGTTGCAGTTTTAACTGTATTTAATCGGTAATTCGAAGGTCGTCCTTGTATCACAGAATCCTCGTTTTTTCTTACATCCTCCTTTTTCATTGGTTAAAGCTTACCCTTCTTTTTAATGGTTCTTCTGTGCTCCTCATTTCTCTTTACTCTGTAATTACAGCTGTAGGAAAGGTTCGTAGGCTTTAAGAACTTCTGGATAACTTGCAGTGCCCCCTCACCCCCAGTCCTTCTGGATGGACTTTGAGCCGAGGGCCCAGGGCCTCCTGCAAGCGCTCACCATTAAGCTATATACCCAGTCCTTTTTATTTTTTGAGACAGGGTCTCGCTAAATTGTTGGGGCTGGCCTCGAATTTGCGATCCTCTTACTTGGCTACTTGAAGCGTTTTTGTAGTTATGAATTTTTGTCACACGCATTCATGGTTATTTCGGAAGTGTGAAATGGAGATGGATATGAAAGTATACTGCTTATTTTATATAAGCAGGCTCTTTTGTGAAACTAATATTTAAGAAAAGAAGGAAATTTGTATACTGTAAAGAATAGTGATTATCAACCTTTTGGGATAACACTCCCTTTTGAGAATAGTGAAAGCATTAGGTCATCATCCTAGAAAAACACTAGACATGTAGAATGTGTAATTTCAGATGTTTACAAATGCCAAGTTTAAAAAACTCTTGTAAAGTGACATTACTAAATTGATTTTTACACTTTTTTTTAGAAATGTTGCTGTTCTTACATAGGTTCATTTCAGCTCAGGATGTTTTCTTATCCTGAAGATGTAGGACACCATTTATTTAGTTCAGTAGCCAATGCACAGTTGCTTTCTTTGATTTGTGTTTAGTTGAGTGAGATAAACCTAGAACATTGACAGTACTATATTAGTCCTATGCAATAAATGTTGCCATTCTTTTTTTTTATTATTTTTTTATTTTACTGGGGATTGAACCCAAGGGCTCTCTATCACTAAACTACATCCCCAGCCCTTTTAAATTTTTTTATTTTGAAACTGAAGCTTGCCTTGAATTTACGATCCTCCTGCATCAGCCTCCTGAGTTACTAGGGATTACAGCTGTGTGCCACCACACGTGGCAGATATCCCCATACTGAGTGAGATATTTTGCCCACACAAGGTGTATTTTTATTAAAGGCAGTGCCAGCTAAGGATTGTATTCCTAGTTTGGGAATTAAAGGTTCTGGGTCCGTTACTTTAACTTTTCACTTTCCTGGGTATGGTTCAACTCTATCACATTGTAAGTATTTTTGAAGAATAATAACTGCTTGAGTTTTAGTATTACTTCATATTTGCAGTGTGAAGGAGTAGCAAGAAAAAAAAAAGTTTTCACTTAATTGCATGCAATTAATTACAAAGTTTTTTGAAAAATAAGAGTTCTAACTTGGAACATAAATTTTTTTCAGATGTGTTCATGAAGATACTTTAGAATAGACATTTTAAATTTTAACTCTTGTAATAGCCCTCTTTTATGAGTATTTGCTATGTGGCAGGCACTGTTGTAGGTACTCATTTAATTCTCAAAATGATGTGTGGTGTAGATGTTATGATTGTCCTTATTTTACTTGGAGGGGAACAGGACACAGATAGGTAAAATTATATGACAAAAGTCCAAGGCGTTAAAAATTATATGACAAAAGTCCAGGGCTTTAAATTTAGGATGTCTGCTCTAAATTGCATGCTCTTTAACTGCTATGTTATAGATATTGTTTTGCAGATAGTATATATAAATAAGCCACTGTCCTTACAATTTTTTCTGGTTTTATAACAACTATGGTCATAGTAAAATAGTATTAAAAGAAGCAAAGTATGCATGATAGGAATTCTAATCACACATAAAATTGATAAATTTACCCAAATTTTTTAAAGCAAATCTCACTTGGGAATTACATATGGTTTCATCTAAACTTCTTATTTTGTAGAAAATCATTTACAATTAAATGAAGAGAAAGAAATACACGTGTATCTAGATGAACCACTTACAATTAAATGACCGTTGCTAAGAAAAGGAAATACACACGTTTCCCTAGCATTCTCATTTTGAGAATGATAACAGGTAGATTATGGTACTCCTGTGTAATTAAATTCAGTTCTTTACACAACTCTAAGCCATTGTTTTTATTTTTATACAGATAGCATTGAAGTCTTGTATTTAGTATAGATTAATAAGTGGACCTGCTTCTACAACATTAAGTGCCAGAGCTAAGAAATAAACTTATGAATGCTTTGAATTCCTACTTAACCATTATATGTTCTTGTGAAGTTGTTTCTGTGTTTACACATTAACCAAGTACTCAAGAATTAGCCCTTGTACCTTTGCTGTTGGAGATACCATAAGTCTAGTTCATTTTTTTAAAAAAAGCTATTTTGGTTTTCACTTTTAGGAATTGTCATTTATCTTTTTTTTCCCATAACAATACTTTCCCCTACATTTTAATATGAAAAGATCCTCCGAACCATTAAGGATTTCTAGCTTATCAATATATTTGTATTCCCTTAAAATCAGAATTCAAAATCAAACAAATCTTTCTGCATACATACTATGTTGAGCAGTTTTGAATCTAAAAACTAATACCTCGTTGATTGTTGACAAAATGGCACATAAAAGTGTAAAAATGGTAATTGAAAAATATATAAAAGTATGTGCTCATAGGATATTATTAGTATCTAATTTAAATAGAATGACATTTTCTTATAAAATGCCTAAAGTGTGGTTTACTTTATATGCAGACAGGATTTTATTTAGATTAGTGTGGATAGAATCATCAAGGCAGTTTTCATGAATGAGTTGGAACTTGAACTTAGTATTAAAGATTAAGTTAAACATTTGGCTGATAGGAATAAGACATTCATAAAAAGAAAATAGGTCCTTTTTTTTTACTTCTTAAAAAATTGGGAATTTTTCCCCAGAATAATCTTAGGTATAATGTTTTCTCAATCTCATGCTAATTATACTTTTTAAAAAATAGCTAACATATCAAAACACTAATTTGTGTGGTAGGCATTTTGTTTGCTTCTCAAATACATTATCTCATTTGACTTCACAACATTTCATGAGGTAGTCACTCTTATCCCCATTTTATAAATGTAGAAACTAGGGTTCAGAGAAGTAAGATAATGCTTTCATGGTATCATATCTAACAAGTTGAAGAGCCAGTAGCCAAAGTGAGGGTCGACTCCAGAGACTGTGATTTTAACCATGTAATTTAAACTCTGAATCCCACTTTTCCCTAAGTTAACACAATTTCCAAAATACATTTCTTTTTCTCTTAATTTTATCATGCATGGTAGTTGCTTTGGTATTATTATTTCTTCTGAATGTTATTATTTCTCCTGTTATTTAAAAAACAAATACCTAAACTTTTTGGAAGAAACAAGAGTTTCGTCTTTGGAGCTAAACTTCTGAGTTCAAATGTTGACTCTTTCTCTTACTATTATGAACAAATTATCTAATATTCTGTGCTTTCATTTTATCATTGTGAAATCTTCAAATAGAAACAATGTAAGACTTAAGGCATATTTGTTAGTCTGAAGCCCTTCTTGGAAACAGAGGATGAACTTCATCTTCTAAATATGAATAAGGAAACTGACAAAAGTTCTGTTGGAGAGCATTGAGGAAGTATATACACATCTGAGACCAAAACAGAATTAATGCTAAATGCCCAGTAATGTAGGAATTTGGTTATACAACTAGTAAAAAAGAGAAGAGGTTAGAAAATCAGAAGCAGAGAAAGTTTGTGGATTGCCATATCTGTAAAGGGTGGGAGTCAAAGGGCATTATTTAAAGCTGATAAATCGGCAAAAGTACAAACATATTCAGCAGTACAAAGGTAAACATTAAGAAAGATAATATTATTGTATGACTGTAATGCAAGAGGGGCAGAATGGTTATTCAAGCTAATTTCATTAGTGCTCCTAGTAAGGAGTTAATAGTTGTATAAAGAAATGGGGGATTACATCAATGTTTATAGCAGCTCAATTCATAATAGCTAAACTATGGAACCAACCTAGGTGCCTTTCAATAGATGAATGGATAAAGAAAATGTGGTATATTTAGTGGAGTATTACTCAATTTTGAAGAAGAATGAAGTTATGGCACTTGCCAGTAAATGGATGGAATTGGAGAATATCGTGCTAAGCTAAATAAGCCAATCCCCAAAAACCAAAGGCTGAATGTTTTCTCTGATATGTGGATGCCAATTCACAAAAGGGGGTTTGCGATAGGGAAGAATAGTTACTTTAGATTAGATAGAGGGGAGTGATAGGAGGGGATATGAAGTTAGGAACGATAGTAGAATGAAAAAGACATTGTATACATATATGATGACTACATGACCAATGTGATTCTATAACATGTACAATCAGAAACATGAGAAATTATACCCCATTTACATATGATATATCAAAGTGCATAAATGTTTTCTACTGTCATGTATAACTAATTAAAACAAATAAGAAATTTTATGATGTAAAAGAAAAAGAAATGGAGAATTAATGGTATTAAATAAAATTATTTAAAATTATGGTTACAAAGATAGATCAGAAACATTAGAACAAAAATACAGAAAGATTATAAAGACAATAGACAACAGCAAAAACTTCAAAATTTTATAAAACCAAATGGTAAAATGTGGTAAGACTAAGATCAACCATTTTTTTTTCTAGTAATACATTTTAAATGGCTTTAGGTAACCTAATAAAAAGATTTCAGGGGGCTGGGGATGTGGCTCAAGCGGTAGCGCGCTCGCCTGGCATGCGTGCGGCCCGGGTTCGATCCTCAGCACCACATACCAACAAAGATGTTGTGTCCGCCGAGAACTAAAAAATAAATATTAAAAATTAAAAAAAAAAGATTTCAGTTTGGGTCACCAAGCAAAATCTGATTTTATTTTAATTTTTAAAAAAATATTTTATTGGGCTGGGATGTGGCTCAAGCGGTAGCGCGCTCGCCTGGCATGCGTGCGGCCCGGGTTCGATCCTCAGCACCACATACCAACAAAGATGTTGTGTCCGCCGAGAACTAAAAAATGAATATTAAAAATTCTCTCTATCTCTCTCTCTCTCTCCTCTCTCACTCTCTCTTTAAAAAAAAATATTAAAAAAAAATATTTTATTAATTGTTGATGGACCTTTATTTTTATGTGGTGCTGAGAATGGAACCCGGTGCCACCCATATGATGCTAGGCAAGCTATTTACCACTGAGCCACAACCCCAGCCCCTCATTTTTTTTCCCCCACTGTATCCAAAACATCTAGTGAAAACAGAGTGGTTCAGAAGTTGACAAGCTGGGCACAGTAGTGTACAGTAATAATCCGAACCACTTGAGAGTGGTACACACCTGTAATCTCAATGGCTTGGGAGGCTGAAGCAGGAGGCTTGTGAGTTGAAAGCCAGCCTCAGCAATTTAGCGAGACCCTAAGCAATTTACTAAGACCCCCATTTCAGAATATATATGTGTGTGTGTGTGTGTGTATGTGTGTGTGTGTGTGTGTACACATATAAAAGGGCTGGGGATATGGCTCAGTGGTTAAGTGCCCCTGGGTTCAGTTGTCATAGAGGGCCACTTTGTGATATTCACTAAAATTAAAATTGCATTGATATATATATATATATATATATATATATATATATATATATATATATATATATATTTAAACTGGATTGAACCCAGGGACACTTAACTCTTAGCTTCATCCCCTGCCCTTTTTATTATTTTGAGACAGGGTCTTGCTAAGTTGCTTAGGGTCTCTTTAAGTTGCAGAGGCTGGCTTTGAACTTTCAATCTCCTGCCTTAGCCTCCACAGTTGTTGGGATTACAGATGTGCACCACCATGTCCACCTGCATTGATCCTTTAACCAAACAGTTTTACTTCTGGAAATTTATGAAATAAGAATGAATGAAATAAGATGTACAGATGGCCTTTATTTCAGCATTGTTTATAATATATCAAAAACAGTTCAAGTATTCATCGGTATTGGACTACATAAATGATAGTACATTTTAGAATGGATTACTATGCCATGTGAAAAGATTTATGTAAATGTAAGAAACATTTGAAAAAAATAACAGTGCTTCCTGAATTTTTCCATCAAAGCAACTTTAATGACAGAAAAGGGGAAAAAAGTATATATGTATATGTGTGTGTGTGTGCGCACACACGTATGTATGTATGTATAAAGTGGTGTGTTAGTTTTTAGCTTCAAATGACCAATTTTCTAGGAATTTTGGCTTTAATCTTTAAGATTTGTGATCTTACTGTGTTCTTCTCTGTAGTTGATTTTTAGTCTTTAAAATTGTTCTTTTTTAAAATTTTTATTTTTTATTAGTTGCTCGAGACAATACAATGATCTTGACATACATTTGATTCAAATGGGGTATGAATTCTCATTTTTCCACATGTACAGATTGCAGGATCACATTGGTTATACAGCCACGTATATACATACAGCAATACTGTGTCTGTTGTATTCTGCTGCCCTCCCTATCCCCCCTCCCCTCCCCTCCCCTCACCTCTCTCTACCCAATCTACTGTGACACATTTCTCTCTCTCTTTTTTTTTCTTCCTTCCCCCTCACACCATTATATATGTATATTGTATAACGATGAGGGTCTCCTTCCATCTTCCGTGCAATTCCCCTTCTCCCTCCCATTCCCTCCCACCTCACTTCCCTTTTTAGGGGTAATTTTCTTCTCATGCTCTTCCTCCCTACTCTGTTTTGAGTCACCTCCCTTATATCAGAGAAGACATTCGGCATTTGTTTTATAGGGATTGGCTAACTTCACTTAGCATAATCTGCTCTAATGCTATCCATTTCCCTGCAAATGCCATGATTTTGTTATTTTTTAGTGCTGAGTAATATTCCATTGTGTATAAATGCCTAAAATTGTTCTTATCATTGAGTAATTCTACTTCAGGAAGATGTGTCTTGTTTATTATATGGCTTCTCTTAGCCCTGATACATTGTAACCCATACTTGTTTGAGCAGCACATGTATACAAAGTTAATTCCTCAGCTACTATCCTGTATTGTTTTTTGGGGGAATATTTTTCCTGACTGATTTTTCAATGGAAGGACAGAAGATTGAATATCCATGCTAATCCAAAACTCTGAAAAGAATTTCAGATTTTGGAGCATTTCAGATATCAGATTTTTGGGTTTGGAAAGCTTGAACAATAAAGCCTATGCAAATATTCTATAATTTAAAAAAAGAAAAAACTCTGAAATACTTCTAATCTCCAGGCACTTTGGATAAGGGGTATTCTGCTATAATCTATAAAGAATTAGAATAGTCTACATTTGTCTCAAAATAGTTTCACAAGTTTTATCTTCTAGTTCTGAATGCTCGCAACAAATGACATCTAAACCAATTTGAATTATTGGCTCTTGAACATTACTACTGTGGTAATGGTTTGTCTAGTATGTTTCTATGTATAATATGTTTCTGTATTTTATATTACATAATTTTTTAGGATGAAGTTAAAAGAGGTAGATCGCACAGCCATGCAGGCATGGAGCCCTGCCCAGAACCACCCCATTTACCTAGCTACAGGTAAGATCAAAAGAGGAGATAATATGAATAACCCAATTCTTCTCTTCTACATCTGGCTTATTCATAAATGTCCATTAAGATTCAGTTCAAGCTTCCTCTGGGAAGCCCCTATCCCCAGCAAGATACCTCCATTTCCTTATCAGCTGAGTTCTATGACCTTCATCTTTGTTCCAGTAGCACCATGTACATCATAGCAATGATCACAATGTGTTTAAAATAGATGTTGCCTTTTCCACTGCACGGGAATTATGTTTAGCATTAGTCCTCCAATATTAAGCATAATAGAAGACATGTAAAAGTTCAATTGAATGAAGAGCAAATTTGATGCAAGCATTTTTTAATATAAAAATGTACAGCATGTATGATTACATGTACATATAGTCAATCACAGGACTATTTTTACAGAGAGCTTTTAAAATATTTACATACTTTAAAAAAATTAATGGCCCTACCCACTCTTACAAACATCATCTTGCAGCCCTGTGCCAGAATCTCATTGCTATAGTAATTTAAGCATCTGCTTAATGGCATATGTGCTGAGATTTCAGCTACTAATGTAGCATTCATGTGCAAGATAATTGGAAAATATGCTTTTAATTTCTGTTTTGTACCATTTTCTTTCAATCTTTTATTTATTTTAATATTTTTAATTATAGGTGAACACAATACCTTTAATTAATTAATTTATTTATTTTTAGTGTGGTGTTGAGGATTAAACTCGGTGCCTCACATGTTTGAGGCAAGCACTCTACCACTGAGCCACAACCCCAGCCCTGAGTCTTTTATTTTTGTGTTTGTAGTTACCACAAATGTATTTTCTATAGGAACATCTGCTCAGCAGTTGGATGCAACATTTAGTACCAATGCTTCCCTTGAGATATTTGAATTAGATCTTTCAGATCCATCCTTGGATATGAAATCTTGTGCTACTTTCTCTTCTCACAGGTATGAGGTTCATTCTTATTCATTTGATTATTTATATATTGTGATTGATGCCTACCTTGTCGATAATTATTAGAAAGTATAAGAAATACCATTAATAACATGAAACATTTTGTGAAAAAGTATATAAATGCATTTTTGTGGAAGTGAAAGAAGTGTTTATATGTTCTCTTTACTGTTTTATTGCTGACTATTATGTGTAGGATGGGAAGGAGAAGCTCTAGTTTCTTTTTTTCCTTATAGTATAGAATTACTTTTTTCTATTTCTTTCATTCGACTTGTTTGTAAAAATGTTTGGTGTGAATAGAAAAAGGAGTGGTTATATTAATCACTATGGTATTATTGATTATCTCTGAATGGCAGAGGGTTTTTTTGTTTGTATGTTTGTTGGTACTGGAAGACAGGATCTCACTAAGTTGCTGAGGCTGGCCTCTGACTTGTGATCCTCCTGCCTCAGCCTCCCGAGTTGCTGGGATTATAGGTGTGTACCACCAAGCTTGGCTGAATGGCAGGTTATTTTTATTTTCTTCTTTCTACTATCTATATTTAGAAATATGCCTCACAAAGTATTTTGTTGACATAATTTCTGATGTACTAAGTATTTAAATCACCCTTTCAAGTATTTATGCTCTAATATAATGCCAAAGAAAGACTCTTTAAATTGAATGATTAAATGAACTTAATTGTCTCAGTATTTTAGCAGGTTTTGAAGAGACTGTACCTTAGTTAACAGAATATCATTCAAATCATGGAATTTAATGGGACACTTCATGCTCTGCACAGCCTTCACACTATGATTGGGAACCCTGGATATCTCTTTTATCTAGCAATTTTTCTTCTTGCTACCATAGAACTCTTTGTCATCTTTCTACTGTTAATACATTATTTGTCTTAGAAAATTTCAGGCAACTTGCTTAACACCTTTATTGTTCTGGGTTTTGTGGTACTGGGAATCAAACCCAGGAGTACTTTACCTCTGATACAAACCCACAACCCTATTTATTTATTTGACAGGGTCTCACTAAGTTGATGAGGCTGGCCTCAAACTTGAAATCTTCCTGCCTCAGCCTCCAAGTTGCTAGGATTATAGGTATGCACCATCATACCTAGCTAACACCTTCACTATTTAACAGCCTACATGTTAGTGACCAGTTCTGTTGTCAAGTAGAGTGTAATATTTTTACACAAATGTGGTTGGTTAGCTTTATTTTATAGGTGAATTAAAGGCAACATAGGACGATTAAGTAACTTGTCCAGAATCTTGCAGTTTCTAAATAGTAAGATCATTTTAAAGCATATATATAGAGAGAGATTTTGTTTTGTTTTGTTTTGTTTTGTACCAGAGATTGAACCCAGAGGGGCTTAACCACAGAGACACCTCCCCAGCCCTTTTTTATTTTTTATTTTGAGACAGAGTCTCACAAATTAGTCTCTGAATTGCTTGCCTCAGCCTCTCAAATACCTGGGATTACAGAGATGCACCACTGTGCCTGGCTAAAGCCCATATCATTTGACACAGGACTCAAGTAAACTTTGCTCTACTATATTGCCCCTGTAGGAGTTTTTACTTCTTAGGGAATATGTAGGTATGACTATAAATACAAAATAAAATTGTATTTTACCAGAGTTATACACAATGACCAGGCATGCAAGAAAATCAATGTTTTTCTAGTATTTATTAAAGGTAAAAAAATTAAATGTGTAATTTTTAATTCTTTTCTACATTTATTTGACTTCAAGAATGAGTTGTTTTTTACTTAATTTCTTTTAAAGGTACCACAAGTTGATTTGGGGGCCTCATAAGATGGATTCCAAAGGAGATGTCTCTGGAGTTCTGATTGCAGGTGGTGAAAATGGAAATATTATTCTTTATGATCCTTCTAAAATTATAGCTGGAGACAAGGAAGTTGTGATTGCCCAGAATAATAAACATACTGGTCCAGTGCGAGCATTGGATGTGAACATTTTTCAGGTTTGACTTTGTTTGACATTCATTCATAATTCTTAAAATGTGTTGTTCATTTTGCATAAGTTTATGAGTCTACTCTGCCTCAGCCTTGGAGTTAAAAACCCAAAAATGTGTGCTTGGCTGAGAGGATGGTGATGCACACCTATAATACTAGCTACTCTGAAGCCTGAAGCAGGAGAATTGCAAGCTCTAGGGCAGCTTCAGCAACTTATAAAGACCCTGTCTCAAAAAATAAAAAGGGAATGGGTATGTAGCTCAGTTGTAGAATACTTTCCTACCATGTGTGAGGCCCTGATTGGTTTAAGTCCCCTGTATCTTAAAAAACAAAACAAAAAAGTATGTGCATATATGGTTGATGAGTGATTGTATTTGTTTTAAGAATGGTGGGGGCTGGGATTGTGGCTCAGTGGTAGAGTGCTTGCCCAGCATGTGCGAGGCCCTGGGTTTAATCCTCAGCACCACATAAAAACACATAAATAAAATAAAGATATTGTGTCCAACTATAACTAAAAAAAAAAGAATGGTGGGATCAGAGTTGAGATCAGGGTATATGACACTAATTCTAAGAGGGTATCAGACTAACAGGTTAATTCTGGAAGTCTAAAGGTGTCATGCTGTCTCTGGACAGTTTTAAACATTAGGAGCCCCAGAGTTGAAAATTCTGTCTTTTGAAAGTTTATGCTAGGTCATCATTAGAGTGGTACTACATTGTCTGGTTAAGTCACCATTTTATTAACTAAGAAATTTTGTGTTTGTGACAAAAAGACTACTACCTTATGAAATAGTTAGAAATTATCCAAATAATACAAATTTAACAAATAGGCAGTTAAGATTCTACTGTTGCCTTCACAAACATTACTGAATAATAATTATGTAAATGCATAGGTTAATAAAGAATGAATTAATAGAATACTAGATTATAATAACCAGAAAAAATTTTTAAACAAATAGTTTATCTCTTCTCATATTATGAATATTTAGGGTATAGAAATGCAGAAACTCAAAACTTTTTCATTTCTATAGTTTGTGTGTGGTATCTACTCTTTATAGATTAGCTAGTTAATTCCTTTTTCAGTTGTATTAAACATCAGTGGCTAGTTAATTTTTTTTTAATTTTAATAAACATCATCTGATTTTTGATAAAAGGTAGCTTTTCTATAGGTAGCTATAGAAGAAGAAGCTACAGAAGAAAAAGTCTTCTGTTTTTCATAGTTTTATGGCATTTGCTCATATAAGAATTTATGAGTGAATAATAGTGGATGAAGGTAAATATAGGAAGCTCATTATCTTCTTGTACTTTATATTACAGTTTTAGGGTCTTTTAGACCTAAAAGTTATGCAGCAGAAATAACCTAGAAATACTGCCACCTGGAACAAATTTAGTTTACAAGAACTAGAAAAATTTGAAGAGTTAAGCAAGAGATTTTACTACTATACTGGTCCAGCTGTGGAAGCTGACTTTGAGGTATCCTGAAAAAGATGTCATAGTTTTAAGGATTTAGCTATTTCTAAAAGCAATTATTGGTGACCGTTTTTTTTTTTTTTTTTTTTTGTGTGTGTGTGTGTGTGTGTGTGTGTCCCACAATTAGAATTCCTTTCAGAGATATAAAGCCACATACAATAATCCCTACATGGTTACAAAATTAATTGTTTATCCGTGTAATTGTTCTTTCTTGTAATGCCTTGTATTAAGAATTAGTTTTATTTTCAGTGTACATATTTATAAGTAGTTTTATAAAGTGTTTTTTAAAGATCTTTTAGTGAAGAATTGTACATAATTATTTAGGAATCATGCATATGTGTTTTGCTTTTTTAGTTAAATAGGAAAATTATGCTGAAACTGACATCTTTCTAGCTCTGAACTGAGTTATTCTGAATTCTCTTAATTCACAAATGCCATTTGGTTATAAATTATTCCTTGGTTACAGACTAATCTGGTAGCTTCTGGTGCTAATGAATCTGAAATCTACATTTGGGATCTAAACAACTTTGCAACTCCAATGACACCAGGAGCCAAAACACAGGTATTTTGTTGATTTTGATCAATATGATGAAAGAAATCAAAGTAGTTCTTCTGAACTTATTTGTTTTAACGTTTTTTCCATACAAATCATTGTTAAAATGTCTTTGATTTTGCTTCAGTAAAGTATTAATAAATGTTTCTTCAAAGTATCAGTGAGTCCTTTAACAGTAAGTATTTATTCAGTGCCTACCACTTGCTAGACACATTTCATTGTAGTAGGCATAGAATAGCAAACAAAATGGACAAAAATCCTTGATAATTTTCTTAGGTATGGTTTTATTTTTATTCTATTATTTTTTTCTACTCTAAGAGCAGCCAACCTTACTTAAAAATACACTTTTTCACCAGGTATGCTGGTGCATGCCTGTAATCTGAGTGATTTGGGAAGCGGGGGCAGGAAGATTGCAAGTTCCAGGATAGCTCTGGCAACTTAGCAGACAGTTTCAAAATAAAAAAAGGCTAGGGATATGAGATGGTTCAGTGATAGAGTGCCCTGTATTCAATCCTCAGTACAATTTAAAAAAAAAAAAAAAATCATCCAAACATCATCAAGTTAGTTGGATAAGACTAGTCTTCCCCTATTTAACCTTGTTTCTTCTTGTTTTCTGGACACCAATTTTGAGTGGCCATTGTATATGGCCCTAACATTTTAGCATAATGATAGTATATATTCTACTATTTGTAAAGGTATTTTTCTTGTGGTCCAGGTGATAATTTTTTCTCTGCCTAATTGTTGGCTTTATTCAACAGCATCTATTTTGTAGTCTTATCTACCTTGTAGCATTTACAAATAAAGAACTCAATAAATACTTGTTGAATGAAACACTTTTAAACAAGCACTATAAACTATAAACTACATTGTATATGATGAGATTGGGTAAATATAAAATAACTTTGTAGACTAGATGGATCAGATTTTTAAATAATCAGTTTTTTAAAATCAAGGGTCATATAATTAAATTTTACTATAATAGGGAAATGGTTTTTAAAAATAGTTTATTTTTTATAGCCCCCAGAAGATATCAGCTGCATTTCATGGAACAGACAAGTTCAGCATATTTTAGCATCAGCCAGTCCCAGTGGCAGGGCCACTGTATGGGATCTTAGAAAAAATGAACCAATCATCAAAGTCAGTGATCATAGCAACAGGGTAAGTGTATGATTAATTTGTGATGAAAATAAGTTATTTGTGCTATAGGTATTCTTACACTCTTTGTCAGAGTTGACAAATTTTTGTTAAGTCAAATCCTATATTTTTATTATTCAGTCATATTGGAATATAATAAAATTTCTAATAAATCATGTTGGGTATTATTAATGGTAGAGAGTTTGGTAAGGATTTATTCCATAATATACTATTTGTGTAGCTGTTCCAAAGTGTTGTAGCAACTTTTAAATTCATCTTTAGCTTTTCATAGAACTGTACAAATTTTTCCTGCTAGAAATTTTAAGAGTGTGAATTTGTAATTTCCAAATTCCTGATTTTGTCTCTTCCTCTGATTAGGTACTGCCATAGTAAGCCAAGATCTTTGTCCCACTGGCTCAGTAGACACTGCTATATAATACGTTAAATTCTCAGCCTTACAAATTCTTTAAATTTTTTGTGTTATCAGGTTCTATAAAATACTTTAGATAATTGAGAGATTATTTTTGTTTGTTTTGTTCGACATTTTCAAGTTTGCATAAGTCAGAATGCATATATAATTTTAGAAGAACAACAAAAAACTGTTTAGGAGAATATTCCTTCAGAATTGTTATTTCAAATGGATCTGGACTTGTAAAAGAAAAGTTATCAATGGAATAAAGCATACAGTAAGCATTTTATTCATCTTAGAAATTGTTTTATAGAATCTAAACTTTGGGTAATTCTCAGTAGCAGCATCAATTTATCTCATGAAATTTAGATGATGGTTGTTGCTTAAGAAATTTTTCCTTCATTTTTCTGCTAAAAGAATGATGTTATAGATTATATTAATTAAAGTCTTATCTACTAAAAAAAAAGTCTTATTTTCATTTTGTGAAAGTGTTTAAATTTATATAAAGTCTTTTCTCTAGTTAAAATAGTTGTAATAAAACTCATTTTAGCCTTGATAGACAACAAATCTGCCATCCCCTTGATCTTGGACTTTCCAGCCTTTGTAATTGTGAGAAATAAATTTCTGTTGTTCATTAAAAAAAAAAAAAAAACTCATTTTAGTGGGCTGGGGTTGTGGCTCAGCAGTAGAGCACTCGATTAGAACATGCGAGGCCCTGAGTTCTATTCTCAGCACCATATAAAAATAAATAAATAAAATAAAGACGATATTTAAAAAAAACAAAACTCATTTTAGATATAGAATTATTCTGAACCAAAATTGTTTTGTATATTTAAAATAGCTAGATGAGGTGAAAACATTGAGTCTTTATATGTTTAAGACAGTTTGATAAAATTTAATAGCTTTAAATTGGGGTTTTCAAAAAGAAGTAAACTATGCTTGAGCTGATGTTTTTTGCTGTTTGTTTCAATAAAGGAATATTCTTCGAGTTTCATTTTGGCTTATTATAAAGTAATGTGATTGATAAAATGTGAGCCTTAACTATTCACAGATGCATTGCTCTGGATTGGCATGGCATCCTGATGTTGCTACTCAGATGGTCCTTGCTTCTGAGGATGACAGATTGCCCGTGATTCAGATGTGGGATCTTCGATTTGCCTCTACTCCACTCCGTGTCCTGGAAAACCATGCCAGGTATCATGCTACTATTTCAAGGAACTTGATTTCTTCATGTTCTAAATACTTGGTTACTGCTTCAAATTATTTGATTATTATTGTTATTTTTTAAATGGGGTATTGCTATGTTGGCCTAAAATTTGGCTATCTCCTCCTCAAGCTCCCACCTCAGCCTCCTGAGGAGCTAGGATTATAGTGGAACACATACCAGTGTACCACCTGGATAATTTTGTTTTATTTTTTAAATTAGGGAATCTACTTTATCTCTTTCTCATAATAGATAGTACAAATGGTTTATTTTTATTTTAAGCAATTGTCATCTGATTTTCTCTACCAAATGTATATAGTAGCGAAATACGTACCATAATAGCATGAATTCTTTGTTAACAAATTTTTTACTAGTTATTTCAAACAATAATTAATAGATCAAAATTCTAGTATGCCACAGTACTTTGGGACAACCCTTGAAATTTATTATACAATTTGATCTCTTTTTTTTTTTTAGTAGTTGTTGGACCTTTATTATTTATTTATTTATTTATTTATATGAGGTGCTGAGAATTGAACCCAGTGCCTCACTGGGTTTATATTTTTAAATATATATAAATAAAATTATATATATGTGAGGCAAGTGCTGTACCATTGAGCTACAATCCCAGCCTTAAAATTTGATCTTTATATAGGTCATAATACTTTTGAAGATGAAACTTCTGTGAAATTTCATGTCAAGCAACAATTTAGAAGTTATATTTCTAAGTTTTAATTTAAAAGTAAACATTTTGAGAAATTACAAGGCTTCTCCTTTTTTATTTTATTTTATTTTTTTAATTGAATTATTGGGAATCAAACCCAGTGCCTCATGTATGCCAGGCAGGCACTCTTCCATTGAGCCACATCCTCAGCCCTCTGCTTTCGATTTTGAATTGTGTCAATCTACTTGAATGTTATACTTAGATTTTAAGTAAAAAAAAAAAAAAAGATTATTCTGAGAAGTTTTAATATTTTTCTTGTGTTATTTAAGGTTGAATTCATTCATTCTACAAAGCAAATAAAATTTTCTGCCTTCATATTATGATGGGGGGGCACCTGACACATAATACCTAAGTATACAATATACAAAGCACTTTATTATGATTAATCCTCATAATAATATCCTGTGGTGGAGATATTATTATTAGTCACATTTTCTAGATCAGAAATCAAAAATCAAAAGTTTTAAACTTGCCTAAGATCACTTAACCACTCAGGTGCTTGCTTCCAACCTGAAGTCTGAAGTCCATTCTCTTAACATTACATTCTACCACCAAAATAAGGAGTGGCCATAATTTAGCAAAACACCATGGTGGGTGCTAGGACCAAATCAGCATCTCTAGTACTCAGTTTCCTTCCTCTAATAAATGAAAGATTAGGATTATTATTATTATTTTTAGTTTATACATGGACACAATAACTTTGTTTATTTTTATGTGGTGCTAAGGATCAAACCAGTGCCCTACACATGCTAGGCAAGTCCTCTACTATGGAGCTACAGCTCCAGCCCCAGATTAGGATTATTGGGTCTTCTTTAATTTTTTTTTATAACTTTATTTTATCTATTTATTTTTATGTGGTGCTGAGGATCAAACGCCTTGCACATGCTAGGCGAGTGCTCTACTGCTGAACCACAACCCCAGCCCCAGGATTATTGGATCCTTTATCTTTTCTTCCAGCTCTATAGTCAAAAGCATTCTTTTTTTTTTTTAAAATTTATTTATTTATTTATTTTTATTGTTGGTCATTCAAAACATTACATAGTTCTTAATACATCATATTTCACAGTTTGATTCAAGTGGGTTATGTACTCCCAATTTTACCCCGTAATACAGATTGCTGTATCACATCAGTTACCCTTCCATTGATTGACA